GCTTTTCTGGATCCTCAAGACTTAGCAGCAACCACATGAATGACAAATATGCATGCATTCCTTATTGTATATTCCAGTTTTATTACTAGTATGCTTTTTGGTGTTTAGCAAAGGGAATATCAGTGTTTGTGCTATTTCAGTGACAGTCCCTTTTGGTGATGTTACTGAATTCATTCCTCATTCAAAGGATAGTTCTTTCTATTTCCTTTGTTCAGTCCATCATCATTCTCAGAACAAATAACCCAACAGCCTGCCAAAGATCCATCCAAAGCTGTCACAGAATGCAGCAATGCTCTCCGATTACAGATCTGATCTCGACTTTTACTTCAGATTTTGTAGAAAGACGCTCTCAGTTTGTCTAAAAGTCAGACGACCCGGTGTCGCAGGGGTTCCCCGTATCGTCCCCTTTCATTACTGCATGCTAGATTTTCTTTATGTCTACACCATGTCACGTGCAGCCACAGTACACTCTTGTTCTTATTAAATAATCCTCGTCATCTCTGAATCAAAGTTAGGCCTTGGATTCTTCGAGGCAATAAAGATTATATGATAACGGTGTGATCTAGTGTGATAATGTACCAAATCTAACAGGCTGAAAACCATTACAAAACAGCCAGAGGCAGGAGAAAAAACAAACTGAGAAGCAGTTTGACGGCATGTTTTACTGTGACTCCACTGTGCTTTGTCATTTCAGGAATGAACAAGAGCTATTTGTGAAAGGAGGGAAAAATGTCAGCCAAATGGGAGTAAAGTTAGACCATGTTATGATGGTTGTTTAGAGGACACAGCACGATAAACTGCAGCTTGGATAATTCACTTGGTATTAGTACCATGGGATGTCGTCTCTGTCATTATATAGAGTTTTATAAGACTGAGGTGTAGTAAACTGGTTCGCTGTGCTCAGATCTCATCCTTATCCAGAAACAAGTGATCTGATTTGCTCAACACATGCCCCTCGAATTTGTAACGACCTGAGCAGGTGATCAGTGTCTTCTTCAGCTTCTACTATAATGAAACCCATTTTCACAGACTTGTTTTTATGTGATGTCTTCAGTTTTATTTGAATATTTTATTTATCTATTTTATTCTCTTTCACCATTTGTTAATCATTTGTTTATTGTCTTTATTTATTTATGTATTTAGTACTAGAATACTTATTATTTTAATATTATTAATCATTATTTACCCTACTTTTTATCGATTCACTCTCCATTTTCTTTTACTCTACTTAGTCTTTTTCTTTAATTTGAGATGGAATTCATTTATATATATTATTTCTATTAATTGGTGTTTGTTTTATTGACTTATTTAGTAAATCTTTTTTTGTTTTTCTGGCCTATTTTCTTTTTTTTCTGGACTATCTGAAATTCTGTTGTTCGGTGGTCTTCCTGAGTATCCTCCTTTTATTGACCTGTCTGTATAATTCTGTTTTTGAAAATAGGCTTTATGAATAAAGTTATTATTATTAGTAGTAGTAGTAGTGGTAGTAGATGTAGTAGTAGTAGTAGTAGTAGTAGTAGTAGTAGTAGTATAGATGTGGCAAGTTGTGCTTTGCAACTTCTGAGGACAAACAATCTTCTGATGGTGGTAGCAGACCCCCTAACCACACTTAATAGATGTTAATTTGTTTTAAATCCATTAAATTGAATATCTTATATAATTTAAATGGTGGAAAATCATGATATAAATTTTGTACTCCATACAAGTTCACATTTATGGTAGTCAGAAGGAACTGAGTCAAAACATTCACTTGTTCTGTCAGTGTCGCTAAAGCTACGAAGGCTAATAAGGCTAATATTGAAAGGACAGACTGTTTTATCTAACTTTCCACAAAACTGTGTTGTCAGGTGAAACTAGACCATGCCTATTTTATTTACTGAAAAAATAAACTCAAAAGTGCCACTGTATTTCTTTTGATAGCACTGACATATGACAAAAATTAGCTCATGAACGTTAGCGCAAGCTGCTTCACAGCTTTTTGTTCTTACGAATCACATCAACAACAACATTATAAGACCGGACAACGAGCTTCTAACGTAATAACTTGTCTTTTTATTGATTTATTTATTTTTTGTTGTTGCAAGTCATTCTGCTTGTTGCAAAAAGTAATTGTGTAACTGTGCTACTAACTGCTAATTAGCATTGTCCAATTGAAAACAATGTGGCTCTTTCTCCTAAAACCAGATGATTCCACTGAAATAACTCGTGGCTCCACTGGTCTGTTTGACTCCTGCCCACAAGATACAGCATTTTAGTGTTTATTGGCAATATTCCTTTTTCTACAAAACTGTCTTTGTAAGCATTTAGCTTAAATTTTATGAGTCTTGCAGCCGCTTGAGTTTCATTTGTGCTGCATCTTTTAATAGGCCGAAGTGGTCATTCAAGGAAGTTTTGTCTTTTTAAAAATTACATCAAAACAGGAAAAAAAAAATTTTTTTTATCAGCATAAACACAGATAAAACTTTCCTGTATGTCACTTTCTGTCTGTTCTCTGCAAAGCTACACATCACTGATATTATTAAAGTAGCACAGTTGTAGTACATTTAACAGCAGTACGTGGTCCTGTTTGCATCTTATGGTTGTTTTTTATTGTGTATCCTGACAGGAGATGACAATCAGGGAGAGTCCAGTCCATTTATTAACTCCGACAATGACAGAGAGCCATATTATGAAGGCAAGAACATGGCCCTGTTTGAGGTAAGACAAAAAATACATAATTATATGTATAATATTGATTGTTTCTCAATGCATAAAATCCACCAAGAATATATGTATTTAAACTGAATTCATGTTTTCCCCAAATGCGTATAATATATATGATAAACTGCATAATATAGCGAGTTTATGCCATTATGCAACATTTACACTTAATTAATAACACAAGAGATGGAATCAAATGGTTGCAGGTTCCAAACATTTAGTATTTTAAGCTTTATTCTGAAAATAATCTGTGATTTTCAAAAGCCCAACATCTGATCTTATCTAATTTGTCATATTTTATAACAAATCAGATCAAGCTCAAGCAAAACCCCTCATTCTTTTAAGCTGGGACTCACTTTATTATTGTATGTACACACTAAGAGGTCAGAAATATTGCAAGGAGCGAGGCCACAAAGAGCCTTTAAAGTAATCAGGACCTTAAAATCAGTACCAAAGCATCCAGACAAAGGAGGCTAAAACAGGAACAATGCGGTCACATCTCTAATAGTCTGGGATTGTACAACCTTTCATTATTTTTCTCTGTGTCTCAACAGGAGGAAATGGACAGCACCCCGATGGTATCGTCTCTTCTCAACAAGCTGGCCAACTACACCAACCTGACCCAGGGCGTCCGAGAGCACGAGGAGGCCGAGGATGGAGTCAGGAGGGTTGCTGTCATGGTACGGGACTCTTTCTCAGTCGGTGGAAGTGTGCATGTTCTGAGCCTGGATGATTCTAAAGCAGCATATTTGCTCTGATAATCTATTCTGGGAAGATATTCCTCCTTTAAAATAACATTTCAGCACAGAAGATTGCATCCTGTATCACCATGACTTTCTCCGTTTTGCCAGGTAGACTAGTTGAACCTCTAATGCACTGCATGACCATCCAAATGGAAGGCCATGGCCTGTTTTGGCTGTTTTTGAATCCGTTTATATACGCCTATACCTTATAAAAACACGTTTCCCATGCCTATGTTTGGTATCTTTTTTTTTTTCAGCACATCAACTATATAATCGGACTATTATTTTTAAAAACTTTGACCTACTATTTGAACATTTTGGCCCCAAAACACAAAAAAGTACAAAATCCGATTTTAAATACATTATTTATTACAATAAAAACACAAGTATGCTCAATGAAGCATTATGAATGTGAAAATGTAAACATAGGTTGCAAATATGAACATAAAAAGGTAAACTTGACGTAAAATCAGACTACATTTCCCTTAAAAAGCATGTGTCTATAGGTGTTTTATCTTTTTCTTTTTAGCTGCCGCTCTTTAAAACAGCTTGTGTACAAAATAACACAGAGCGCTACATCCTTGCTTTGCATTTTCAGAGTTCTGACGAGTGCAACATGTAACATATAAATGGTAAAATAATATAAAATCAAACTATGTGCAAATATGTACAACTGTATACAATAAGAACCAGGTGTGGCTTTTCTTTCCTTTCTAAGCCACTCCTCAAAATAGTTTCTGTCCACAATGAGGCAGAGAGCCACATCACAGGACCTACGCTTCCACGTTGTTCACCTTGATGCAGAACTGGCCAGTCTTGCATCCTTGTGGGGTTTTCTGGGGGGCATCTGTTGGCATGGCAACATGGATGTGGTTTGCTCTCATGTTGTTGTGCACACCTGTGCTGTCCACATCACACAGCTTGGACACCAATACAGTGGGGAAGTCTTTGTGGGTCATGGGCTTCACCTGCTTTGCGGGGGTGATGGCTCAGTGTCGGATTTGTGGTGTCTATATCCACAAGATGCAGGGAAAGGGTACCAACGTGATGGTGGATGGAGCAGCTGGTCTAAGGTCAGCCCCATGGATGTACTTAGTGTAGACCAAGACTGTAGACCACCTGAATCTATCTCCCCGACTCTCTACTACTCCACCTAAAAAGCTGAAAATGCCTGAAAAACTCACCAAAAATCCCAAACCCACTTGCTCCGTGTCCCTTCTTCTCCCTCCTTCAATCATCCGCGGTTGGCTTCAGCTTCTGAGCATTTGGCCCAGCCTCCACCTCCCTGCAATGTTCAGCCTGAAGATGTTTTTGTTTTTTTCCCCAAGAACATCGACGACGTCATATCTCCGGTTTTATGTGGTCTATCAACACCAAACCAGATCTCATTCATTCATTCATTCATTCATTCATTCATTCATTCATTCATTCATTCATTCATTCATTCATTCATTCCTTTATGTCTTTCAGTTGCATTTGGAATGTCTGAATGTTTGTATGTACCTTGTTCCTACTATTGTACACTAGTCATTGTTGACCTTAGCGAAAAACTGAGGAAAAAGTAAATGGAGAAAAAAAAAAATCAACACCAAACCAGAACTTGGAGAAAGTTTGAAGTCTGCACTTTTGAGTGAAGCTGACGGCAGTTCTTCTGTTCTGTTTATTTTACAAGCTGTCAAAAAAAAAAAGTGAAAAAGCCACTCACAGTCTCCCAGAGTATAGAGTGATGGTTATGTTTTGTCTGAACAACAATCTTAAGATATATTATATTTAATTCAAAAGATAAAACAACCATTTTGACACGAGGTCCATTTGCACTTCCTGCTAGACCTGTTAAGGTGTTGCTCGTCTCTAAACTTGACTTGGGCTTTTCAGTTTCTTTGATTCTGCAGCTCAAAGCCACGTGAAAGGTTGTGATGTGGAATATAAACTGAGTCAAGAGCAAAATGGAAGTGGGTCAAACAGCAAGAGAGGGAGGGCAGAAGTCTTTTGAGACGGAATAAAGAGTCGACATCCTGACTTACTCATGTTTAATCACTTGGAGTTCATGTGACACAGCTGAGGGTCTTTTAGAATTCAACTTGAGCAGCCTGTATTATGCAGGATATGTTACTCCTGCACTTCTGCACCAGTCAGCTTCTTACCGCTGATTGGCTGGATGGAAAATCCAGTGTTCAGCCTGGACAGTGAACTTCCCCTCAGCCCCAGAGAGGAGATCCAGGCCCTGAACTCTAGTGTCTATGATGTGGGAGGTTGCGTTTGAGCGCCAGCCAGAGGTGGGAAGTGGAGGTGGTTCTTGGCTCACCTGGCCTCAGGCAGGTTTACTGGGACAGATAGTGTCCTACACAAAGTCTTTTTCACTCTTCATTTTTCCAGCATCATGTCCAAAAGTTATGTGTCATAACTTCACTGACCGAGTTGTGTATAATTTGAATATCAGCTGCTCTGTGAAATGTAGCGTGCGGGAATTTTGGGACTGTTTCTCTGCATTATCACCAGATCTGAGAGGTTGGAATATGTAGGGTTCGTCTACATACAGACAGGAATGGGTACGACTAAACAGTTTCACATAGGTATTGTAATTTTGTGGCTGTTGACCAAGGAGAAAAAAGAAGAAAAGGGCTACAGAGTCTAACAATCTGCCTGCAAAACACTCACCCACATGTGTAAGTTTTACTCTATATGTGCTGAATGAAAGGACAAACGATCACTGCTCATATGTTATTATGTTAATGCAAGTAAAAGATGTATACATGCTGCAGATCACAGGTCTATAGTAATGCTGACCCTGAACATAGGGAGCCTTTGAGTAAAATACAATCAGACCCTAAACTGTTGCTCTGTGTAGAAGCATTGATGATATTAAACTAAACCCGCCCCCTGAATGTTAGCTGAGAGCACCGAAGGAGATCTAAAGCTCGAGACTGAAGCGATCAGGGCAGATAAAAGCCGAGTGAGTGAGGGGGAGAAACCAGAGGCGAGAGGGAACGAGAGCGTAACACAAGAGAGAGAATGTGGGAAATGTTGAAATCCACAGCAGGCACTTTGCAGAATTTAGACAGACAACTGAGCGCAATGGAGAGAGCGCAGGAGAAACCATTTGTAAGGCGAAAGATGGTACGTACACTTTGTTGTTTTTAGGGGAAGTGAACCGGTCGAGGTGTTACAGCGTGCGTGTGCAGTGTGATGCATTGATGCTGCTTTGCAAAGGATCAAGAACAGCATTTTATCTGTTTTACTGCTTGTGAAAAGATGTTTGAAATGACACTTAAGTTACACCTGGAGGGAAGTGAAAACAGAATTCCTGATTTTCTGATCAATGTCATCAGGACAATTTGAACGTTTTTCTTTTCTTTTGTCCTTATTTTTTCCCCATATGATGCAAGCTGCTTTGAGGATATTTAAAAAGCTAATAGACAGCTTCAGCAAACATTACAAATACGGCTTACAGCTTTGTTTTTTTGTTTTTTTTAAAGTGCAATCGCCTAATTTATTCATTTTCTTAATGTCTGCACAGAAACCAAAATAACTGCCATAATAGAATTTGAATGATTAGTTTTTCTACCCAAATTGGAGACAATTCTCCCAGTTCAGTAAATGGCACTATGATAAGCAAAAATACAGATGTGTCATAAATACAGGAAGCTAACATTTGGGGGGGAAAAATGCATTCATAACAGTTTAGAAAAATGTACAATCTTTTCTCTTTTCATTCACACGCACTTTGTATTTTCGTTTCCAGAGCAGGGTTTGTTACCTGCCAGCAAAAAATTATCTGCAGGAAAAATAGAATCCATTTTGTCCAGCGTGTAAAATGTAGTGAGAATATCCCTTTTTTAAAGGCTGCATATTTGTTGATAACTGATTGCAGGTATCGTGTGTGAAAAACAGGTGAAGGAAAGACTGCTAATGTCTCATGATGTAATTAAAGCATAAGAAACATGTACAGTCCAGTTAAAGGTAGAAAATGTGTTGAACTTTACTTCTCTAACTGAGAAGAATCCAAACATATGAAGATCCCTGATAGTGATGTTTTTTTTATGCTGTAAATGTGACATGTCTGTTTTAAATCTAAACATTTAGGGACACTTGTTGCGTGTCATCTTTGCTCTTTACACAGTTTCTATAGCCGTCCACTCTCACCTAAAGGAACAAGGGTTATGGTGCAGATTTAACATGGATCAGTGCTTCTCTTCATAACGGTTTGCAGTGGGTTGAGGCAAAAGTTTAGGAGAGTTTTAGATTGCTGATGTTTTAGAGTTGCTTTGAAAAAGCTTTCTCCCTCACCTGTGTGCATTTGTGTGGTTTCTCCATCCCCAGGTCCCCCAGATGGGAACATTTATCGGCGTTTACCTGCCCTGCATGCAGAACATTCTGGGCGTGATTCTCTTTCTGCGTCTCACCTGGATTGTCGGTACAGCGGGAATCCTGGGGTCTTTCGCCATCGTCTCCATGTGCTGCATTTGCGTGAGTAATTGAGAGCTTCGGCTACGGATTCGACCTTCGGCGCCGAACCACAACAGAAAAAGAAGCAAATGTCAAAACGTGACGATCAATCACAGTGTGAACAATGGACAGACAAACTATTAGACTCCCCTGACAATGCTGTAACGACCTCTCAAAGCCTGTAGGGAACAAGGACAGGTTGGAGCTTCACAGCATGGTGAGCCAATTAGAGCACCTTCCTGAATTTATGGCATGGGGAGCCATAACCTCTGTGCCCAAGCTCTGAAAAAGAGACCTCAAAACAAGCAGAAAATTAACATCTCATTTACAGCCACGGTTCATACGTCAGTTGTTCCAGATGGCCAAACAGAGAAGTGACTGTCTGAGCAGTTTGAACTTAAATGCTCAGCACTCATGTGATGTGAATCTGCAAACAACACACTTCTACAATACATACTGAGCCGGCCACCCTCTGATCCTTTTACACTAAACAGATAGGATGCTGCTGCTACTGTTTGCATTTTGCAATCCAAGTTCCCCGTTTTCTTAAGTTTCTTCCAGCTCCTGAATGCCAGGAATTATTAATGGCTGCACCAAAACAAAAGATACACTGACTTCTGCCAAATATTTTGGAGCAACCGTGCAATTTATGATTGATTCTTATGAATAAGGCACTAACTAATTCAGAATGGTGTACTGTTGGTGTTGAAAAAGATGAGACACAACTTTTGAAACCGCAAAAACAAAGCTGGAATTGATTCCAACAACTTTCTGTTTATCTTAGTTATATTTTTGCACTTAATAATGTTGTAGTAAAATATGCAGACGGAACTTGGGTATCTGTCCTGGCTTCAGTGTTGTGGTTTCACTTCATACTGTAACACCACTAAATTTATTTAGTTTTTGTACTTTTTTTTGGAAAGGAGCAGAAGAGACAGTCACAAAATAAGGGGGATGAGAGCAGGGGAATGACATGCGTAAAGGTCAAATTTATCTGGGAACTCCCTGCTGGTGGCATTTGCGCCCATGTGGTACCAGTCGGCTGTTTGGTTGTACAAAGAAAACCTGCAAAAAGCTGAGAAATACAATGTTTTGCTGTGATTCTGCTAATCATTTAATCTTCATTCTTAAAAATGCAAAATATTTAATTTTGTCAGTTTCTCAAATGTGACACTTTGATGCCTTTTCTTCTAAAACATTTATAAATTTTTATTCATTCTGTTAAATGATTAAGAGTTTTGAATGTGTTTTTTTTAAAAAAATCAAATAACTGTTTAATCAAGAAAACAATGAGCAAAAAAATCAGTATAATAATACCATTATTGATGCGTTTCTTCTAAAAATATTATAATTCTTTCTTTTTTCTTTTTTTTTTTACAACTCAAACATCTTTTAGTCAAGAAAATAATAAGCAAAAAAATCTGTATAATTAATACAATTATTTATTTGCTGCAGACCTTTATTTGTGTTCAAATAAAACCAAAAATATACACTTAATATTTAAATATTCAACATTCTGAAAATGTTGTTTTGGGATGTCTATTCTTAATCTTTCATCTCAGCATGAAAATATCAATGTGATTAATTTCTGCCTTTTTAATTAATGATGACAAATAAGCTTTATGGGAGAAGTATTATGTTAAAGCGTCTTTGTATAAAATTGCCATGGATTATCTGAAATAGATCTGTCATGACGTCCTTGTATCAATAAGACCATTTTTACTTCCACCCACAGCTAAACATCTGTCCTTTTTCTCTCCATGCAGACCTTACTCACAGCCATATCAATGAGTGCCATCGCAACCAACGGAGTCGTCCCAGGTACAGTATGAACTGTTCAGTTAGCTGTTGTTTTCTATTAGCAGCATGTTCATGCTTACAGGCTTCCAACAACTACAGCTGCAGTTTTGAGAGTGAAGCAGTACAGTGTTTTCTTTTACCTCTGACTTACTCTTAATTTGAAAAGCCATAATCAGTAAGCATTAATAAGCTAAAGTCACATGCAGTTCTCTGTAGATATATTATGGCATGTATTTTAAGTGCTTCGAACCAAAACAAAAAAAAAACACTTTGTTCAACAGCAACTTACAAAATTGAAGAAAAAAAAAAGGAAGAAGAAAAGGCAATGCATTACTGAGGCAATGTTGTGACAGTACACATAAGTCTGAACTCACGTATTTGTGTGTTTACAAAAGAACGAGGAATGAAATGGTTGGCACAGGGCTAACAACGTATTTAGATTCAGCAAAACTCAAAAATGGCCTCAAATGCCTCTGAAATGCAATGAAAATAAACAAATATGGGACAAAAGGAATCCTGGATATGCTGTAAATGGGAAATGTACAGACTATACATTTGTTCATGAAGGAAACACATCTTTTATAATAAAACAGAAGTGGCCAAGTGGACACACGTGATAGTCCATTTCTCACTGTCTACACACGTGACCAACTGTCATTCCTATGAGAGAACAACATGCAGGATTTAAATGGAACAGTTAAAGGAAGTTGTTGATACCAGTAACAAACTGTATCTTTATCACAAACACAGCTGAAGCCACAGGATCTAAATGGAGGTCTATTAGCAGGGTTAGGGTTAGATAATGTACTGTATGTAACCTGAGTTAATGAAAACAGACAGAGCCTCATTTTAAGGTGTCACAACGCCAAAAACACAACGTTTACACACAGCTGTCGATAACTAGATTCAAGAATTACACATTTCCTTTAAAGTACTTCCCTTAATGATTGACAGAGAGCCATTTTTTCAGGAGGCAGCGAGAGTAAACGTGTCGTGTCTTATCCCAGACATGCATTCCGCAAAACGTACTAATTAAATGATCCTGAAGAAACGCTCTCTCATCTTGCCTGTACTACTGTGTATGTACATCAAGATGACAATAAACTTGCTTTGATTTGATTTGATTGAAAGTCAAGTAACTATTTGTTGTTGGAAACTTTAGTTTTCATACAGAAAGACACATAAGTTTGTCTTCTGTGAGGAAAATAAACAAGTGGGATTTCATTTCTCTACAGCCGGTGGTGCGTACTACATGATCTCCAGATCTTTGGGTCCAGAGTTTGGAGGAGCCGTGGGTCTGTGTTTATACCTGGGAACCACCTTTGCTGGATCACTGTACATACTGGGCACCATCGAGATTCTGCTGGTATGTTTAACCTTCTCTAACCCCGTCAGTCGTCAACCTCTATTGCACTTTAATGATAATCATTCACTCTGCTTTGTTTCTGTCCCTCCACTACCAGATATACATTGTTCCATCAGCAACAGTGTTCGAAGCTGACACTAAAGAAGCAACGCTCAACAACATGCGCATCTACGGCACGTGCTGCTTGCTCCTGATGGCCCTGGTAGTGTTTGTCGGTGTGAAGTAAGTGTCCACACAGAAACACGCAAATGCAACAACATGCACAGCAGCACACAGGCTCACATTTGCTGCCCTCCTTTCTGCAGGTATGTGAACAAACTGGCTCTGGTGTTTCTGTCCTGTGTGGTTCTCTCCATTATGGCCACTTATGCAGGAGTCATCAAGACGCTCATCGAGCCACCAGATTTTAAGTGAGTTAACAACAGACAAATAGTCACTTTTAATGAAGCACTGACATGTTTTCTCTGCTGTTTAGGCAACTTAAATATTGCAATTGTTAAGAAATGATGACATGTCAGCCTAAAAATGATGTCCCAGTAAATATGATGCTATTAGCTAATGCAGCAAAGCTAAACCCACTTTAGCATCCATCTAACCTCTCCCTCCTCCACAGCGTCTGTCTGTTGGGGAATCGCACCCTGAGGAACCACAATTTTGAAACTTGTGCAAAGACGCAACTCATAAAGAACCACACCGTCACCACAGAGCTGCGGAGCCTCTTCTGTAACAGTGAATATCCCAACGCAACCTGTGACGAATACTACGAGCTCAACAACTTGACAGAGATACGGGCCATACCTGGGCTCCTGAGTGGAGTTATCAAAAGTGAGAGTCCACCTGGATTTCTTTTTGTATCAACGTCAAGTTAAATGATCTACTTCTCTCCCAGAGCTTGAATCGCGCTGATGATGCTTTTCTGTGTCTGTCACTCTGTTAGACAACTTGTGGGGTGATTATGGTCCAGCTGGTGTGGTGATAGAGAAGAAGAACCAGTCTTCGGTACCAGCTCAGGTCCTGTCCGACAAAAAAAATAAGAACTACGTCTATAACGACATCGCTACCTACTTCACTCTGCTAGTTGGGATTTACTTCCCTTCTGTCACAGGTAGATGATGTACACCCGTAAATGTGTGAAAGATCTGAATATTGTAAATTTATAAAATGGAAGTTTTTCAATAGTTTGATCAACGAACTTTAACCTGCTGCTTAAATGTCAATGTGTAGGTGATAAAACTTACTTAATAATGTCTGTGGAATAAAACACTGTTATTCATAATCAGCAATCATACTTCTGATGTGTTTACAGTCGTAAAATGTGTGTGTGTGTTTTTCAGGTATAATGGCCGGTTCTAACAGGTCTGGTGATCTCAGAGACGCCCAGAGGTCCATCCCAATAGGAACCATTCTGGCTATTCTCACCACCTCTTTCATTTGTATCCTCCAGACTCTCAGTTTGTGTCTATGTGCAGCTGATACACAACAGATTGAGTGTGCTAGTTAGGTTTTTACTATCACATGCTGTAATGTCACTGATCAGGCTAAGGGGGAAAAACTGCCATTTGGTATTTCCATCTTAATTTCATGCTCAGATATCTCCTGTGTGGTTCTGTTCGGAGCCTGTATTGAAGGAGTGGTGCTGAGAGACAAGTAAGAGAATATTTAAATGAGACTTATTGATTCACTCATTGAAACCTGCAGGGAAATTAATGCTGATATTCTACAGTGGGTTCTTGGTTATCTATTGTTCAAGAATCGGTTATCAGGATACTGTATAGGCCAAAAAAAAACAGCTCATTAATCCAGATGCATGCTTGGGGGCGTTTCAGGTTTGGTTTCTCAGTAAAGAAGAACCCAGTCATCGGTATTCTGGCCTGGCCGTCGCCGTGGGTGATTGTGATTGGCTCGTTTTTCTCCTGCTGTGGGGCAGGACTCCAGAGCCTCACTGGCGCCCCGAGGCTTCTTCAGGCCATCGCTAGGGATGGCATCATCCCATTCTTACAGGTTAGTGCTTGGAAGATTTGTGCTCTTCCTATTCTGAAGTTTTACATACTTTTTACACTCACTTTTACTCTCATCCAAACATAAAACGAACGGTGGCGCCTCTGTTCCTTTGTACCTTTCATGATGTTTGATTGACCTGCTTGTAGAAAAAGTTATTCTTCTTTGTGGGTCGCTGTGATTCTTACAATTATTATGCAATTATTATGATTAGATAATAAATAAATGAACATGCTGATTAACCCTTGGACCCTGACAGACGCACACCGTGTCCTAATTTACGTCCCATCTTATCAGCTGAATTGCTCGCTAATATATTTATTGCAGGGAAATGTAACACATGTCAAATAAAACTGCACAACTTTCCAACAATGCTGGTGTAGGCAAGAAAAATCCCTTTGAATTTACATCACATTTAAATATAGTTACAGTCTGCATTTGCCTGTGCATCCACCTCTAAACCCAATACTTCTATTTAAATTGTTGAACTTGTTATTGCATAGATAGGTAATATTTCAATAGGTTAATATCTATGCAGCACAGTCATTGCATAGATATTTTAATGTATCAATGGGTTCTCTGTATATCTGTCTGTCTCAGGTCTTTGGTCATGGGAAGGCTAATGGTGAACCCACCTGGGCTCTTTTGCTGACAGTTGGCATCTGTGAGATAGGAATCCTCATCGCTTCTCTGGATGACGTGGCCCCCATCCTCTCCATGTATGCAGACTACTTCACTTTCTATCCCACGTGCTCTCAGTCCGTTACTTCTCTTACTGTATTTGTTACATTCTGTGTTGATCCTTTGTCTGCTCAGGTTTTTCCTCATGTGCTATCTGTTCGTCAACCTGGCCTGTGCCGTTCAGACTTTGCTCCGAACCCCCAACTGGAGACCTCGATTTAAGTTTTATCACTGGTAATAACAGACTCCAAATAAGTCTGCAATAAAAATATTTCTATGATATCTTTATGCCACGTAATATGACTGTAATAACCAATGTGTGTGTTTGTTTTGTGCAGGACTCTGTCCTTCTTAGGGATGAGTCTTTGTCTCTCCCTCATGTTCATGTCCTCCTGGTACTACGCCCTGGTTGCCGTGGTGATCGCTGGCTGTATCTACAAATACATTGAATACAGAGGGTGAGTGAACAGCTTAAACCCTCGACTACTGGTAATATCCAACGAAAAATGGTAAATCTGATCAATTAATGTCACAGGAAACACAGTGAGGGTTTGAACATACCATCACTGTCTTTACATTGTTGCTGCAACATTGAAATAACTGCTTTGGAGCAGTGAACACAATGACGTTTAGTGAAGATAAATGACTCTGTTGTCTTTTGTCATCAGATTTGATTTGGATCTCACAGTTTGTCCAGAGTAGTTTAGCATCAGATCACCTTCTGGCAATGAAAACACATTCTGTTAAATTGGCTGAATTTTGCGCTCAGAGATGTGAATCGAATATCAAATATTCTGTCGAGACAGTAAAGGAAGCTAAACATCTTAAATGCCAGTGAGACTTGACAACGCAGTCTCTTCTTCCACGTGTTGTTAAACAGGTGAAACTTTTTGTTGCAGGGCAGTGAAGGAGTGGGGAGACGGGATCCGAGGTCTGTCCTTGAATGCAGCACGCTACGCCCTCATTCGCCTGGAGGAAGCACCGCTGCATACCAAAAACTGGAGGTTAGTGTCCTCTGGAAAAGAAGTTTTGAATGAAATACTGAATAGTTAATATCTGCTGGTTTCCATAACTTGAGAGCTTAAGGTAGATTTCAGGTTTACATCATAGTAAAAGGAACATTTGGGCTGTTGGTCGGCCAAAGCAAACAATATAAAAACATCTTGTTGGACTCTGCCTCAGATAATTATTGCATTTGTGATTTTCTGTAGTCTAAACAATTGATCACATTGATTAATGAAAAAAAAAAAATCACCAGTTGCAGCATTTTTTTTCATTACCAGTCAATCTGTGTGTCTGTAATCTTTTAGTCAATAAAATGTCACAAAATACTGGAGATGAGATGCTACACAATCTAAAAGCAAGTCTAAAAAATCCATTAATTCTTCCTCAACTTCCACCCATGCAGACTGCTTCACATGCAGCCACGTTGGATCTGTGTAGTCAGAATTATCAGTACTCATTTTGCATTTCACTTTTCTTTGCTGGAGTTCTACCTACATTTTCTCTTTCTTCAGGCCTCAGCTGTTGGTGTTGTGTAAGCTGGACTCAGACCTGCAAGTGAAACATCCTCGTCTCCTGTCCTTCACCACGCAGCTCAAAGCAGGGAAGGGCCTGACCATCGTCTGTTCAGTCCTGGAGGGAACCTACATGACTCGGGGCAATGATGCCAAGACTGGAGAGCAGGTTGGTCAATTTGTTCACCATGTCTTCTGGCTGCTAAGTCCACCAAGTTACCATAAAAACTGTTCTAAACATATGTGACTGATGATATGATTTGATCATTTTAAAGAAAAGTGACCCTGAAAATCCCTTCTTCTATGTATCAGCTTGAATCTTATAATGCTGCTTATGTTCACCTTAGATCTACCATCAGTTCATGCTTAGTCATTTATTAGTCATTTATACAATTTGCACATAGAAAACAGGCTGCCAGCATGTTAAACATTAAGTGAATAAATCGAAATATTGTGCGTACGTGACCTTATCTTTGCTTCACTTTCTACCTGCAGAGCTTGAAAGCCGCCATGGCTGCAGAGCGGACCAAGGGCTTCTCCCATGTGGTGGTGTCGTCCAACCTGCGAGACGGTTTCTCCATTCTAATCCAGTCAGCAGGTCTGGGAGGAATGAAACACAACGCTGTGCTGATGGCCTGGCCAGCCGGCTGGAAACAAGCCCGGGACTCCTCAGCGAGGAGGAACTTCATAGGTAAACTACACAGGAGAGTGTGACAAATCAGAACCTTTCAAGACTACAGCACAGTCATCACCTTGTGGTTTATGCCTCTGCCAACCAGTGAAGCTGCAGTTAAATCCATGTCTGCCCAGTATCAACTGATATATGAACACTCTGACTGAATTTCATAAACGAGCACCAAAGATTAGTGTCACCAAATCAGTATCTGACCAAATCTGAACTCTCCCCTTCTGTTCCTAAGTTACGGCGTTAAGTAAAGGCCATAAAAGTGTTTTGGCTTATGATGATAAAGTTAAAGTGACATTTGAGATTTTGGATGTAACCTGTCCTCACTTCATAGTTTTCTAGATGTTAGATAAAAATATAAAACTTAAATATGTACGTGTTTGTTCTATCCCAAAGAAATAAACCAAACAAAACCTTGGTCTTAGTTACAATGTGTATTTATCTAAACAAATACTAAAGACATGACATGATAATTAACTAATAACCAAAACATAAACCGTCAAAGTAAAGCAGTTGGATGATGTCTGGAGCTTAAACGTACCTTTTCTAAAAACTGGCAGTGATGGTGAGAGAGAGAGAACGAGACAGGTCACTTCAGGACTACAAACACTAACGAATGAATTCTTGAACCTATCACATGAACTAGTAGGAGTTGAGCTATTTATTTATTTCCACACAAACCAGAAGTACTGAGGACTCTGCGGTTGGAACAAAGGCTGCTGATACAGGCCGGTATTCCCCAGCTTTGGGTGGTTTATCCTCGAGGCGCCGTTACCAAGCAACCAGCTCCACCGGGACGGAAAAGTCTCAACAGAGCGTTTTATTTTTTACATTTTTAGAGGATGGTGTAGCTTATGTCGGTCTGCTCAGAGAGCGGACTGATGTCGGAGTAAATCTCCCTTTTCGTGTCTTTGTCTAGCATAGTGAAAAAAAATATTTTGAAAGGTAACTTTGTTGGCTAACGATTTCCATAAATCTTAGGACCTTCTGAGGTACAAAAATACCAGGTGATTGGTTCACTCACCTAATGGCAGCTGAAGAATAATAATAGAAAATTTACAGTGGAGTATATGACAAAGCAGATTAAGCAAAATGACACTTTGCAAAGAGAGTTTTTTTAAAATTTCTAGACATGCAAAGGCAGAGAACACTTTTTCTCATCTATATTTAGAATGGGCCTCTCGTCGTCTGCATGCAAGTTCACATACTGTCAAGCACCATGACCATAAACAACAATAAAACACAAAATACATGCAAGTGAGCGTAACCTGGGCTATCAACGTACATAACATAGTAATGAACAGAGAAAATAAGCATAGATTGACGCAACCCATCAAAGCAACAGAAAAATTACTAGTTATTCTTGTAAATTCAGAGGAATCCTTTCTATAATGTTACTCAAAAATTCATTGGTAATTGGTCAGTATGATTCCACCTTCAACCCTAATTTGATCACAATGAAATAAAGTACAATCTTTCCATGAAGTCATATGACAGTGAATCAACAAATAAGCTTCGTGCGTATTGGGAACTGTTATGTGGATCGCAGGTCATCAACAATTATGCATGATTTTTGAGTCATTCATTTGGGGTGACTTATTTGCACGATATTCACATAGGATGCGTGTGTGAGTGCACAGAGAGTTGTTAACAGTCTTGGAAGGTGAAACAGGGTTTCTTTGTTTTTGCCCTTTTCCTGAAATCCACAGCTAAGACAAATCAAAATGTCATGGAATCTTTTGGTTATAATCAGAGCAAAGCCTTGCTCCTGGTGTTGGAGTTGGTTCACTGTTCATCCTTATTAAGGAGAAGAAAGCGCCTTTTCATACTTTAGGACCTCAGGAAATACTGTCGAAAGCTCATATTTGCTGTCTGGTTGTTCCTGATGTGTCCTTAAACCCAAACGCTGACCTGCTGCGTACAAAGAAGAAGACCTGCTTTATGTAGTCACAGTGATGTCAAAAGGTTATACGTTCATCATTTAGTCCACGTGGACGTTTGAGACAAATTTAAAGAAATTCAGTTGAGCTATTCAGGAAGCAACACATTTATGAGAAACAGATTGCTGAACAAGTGGCGTCTGGGGCTGCCACCGACATGAAAGCACAAAAAGGCGATTCTGCTCTGATAAAACTCCATTTGTTTTGGATTTGCAAGCTGTCATGAAAGCACTAAATCATTTGCTAAGATTAGTTTTAAGGCATGAACAGGAGCTACTTTTGAGTTGCCAGAAAATGACAACAAAAAAAATTACAACGACAAACCAGAACGTTGTATTTTTAGCTTTTTCATTCATTCGAGCGGCATCTCCAGTGGACTGTGTGATCACTGTGTGGAAAAGGGCTGCAGGGCTTTAAACCCACATCTCAAGCTGCACACTTCAGGGACTGTAAAAGCGATTATTTATTTTGGCTGACTAATTTTTGCTAATTGTCATTAAAATAGAAGAAACCAAAGACCTTTCTTTAATGTCAAACTAATCTTTGGTTAACCAACACTTTTGCTGCATTGTCGCTGTTGGAAACACCCAGAGGAGTTATTACAAAAACATGTGATGTGCACTTTCTAAACTAAAAATGTTTTTCTCTGATTGTATTCCTCCGTGCACATTCCAACGATTCAAAATACTGTACAAGCAAGTAAAGCTCTTGGGATAAGTTAATAAACGGTTGTATGAGATGTATATAGTCGGGTTTTTGTCCACATTTCCTGCAGCTCAATTCAACGCATTATGTGATTAAACAGTCCATTGGACACGTCTCCCTAATGAACTCAAGATCTAACCTGAAAGACAAGAAAGCAAAGCACAATGCTGTCCTTGGCTGTGGCTTATAGCTGACATATAAAGCATGAATACATGATGTATTAACCATTATTAAAGAGTTTTTGAAGCCTTGTGAGAAAGCAGTTTGTAAAAGAAACCCTGTACATGGTGGAAAAGACGTACCTTAATCACATAACTTTATCCACATTTACCTACTTTAGAAAGCTAATTCCTTACAGTGGCTCATCCAGAACAACTTTGAGGCCTGGTGAAGGATTTTAAGCTTGATTTCAGTCACTTTAAAGACACAGAGGAGCCTTATTTGCAAACAGACAAGAATCAGAGGAAAAAAGAGAAAGGCTAGATGAGATATGACTAAATTAGAAAAGCTCATCACCATCACTCCGCCTCTCTTTGTCGCTCCCTCCAGAAACTGTGAGAGAGACGACGGCGGCCCACCAGGCTCTGCTGGTCGCCAAGAACATCGACCATTTCCCCGGAAACCAGGAGCGCCTGAAGGAGGGAACCATTGACGTGTGGTGGATCGTACACGATGGCGGACTGCTCATGCTGCTGCCCTTCTTACTCAGTCAGCACAAGGTGTGTATGTGTTGCCTCAACTGTCTTTGTCATTTTAGTTTTTTTAAATTTACTGGAATGCTGTATTATTGATTGTTATTTGGTGTAATCAAAGGAGACACATTTAGACTCTGAAAAGCAAAGAAAGAGTCAATAATATTGTGAAGATGACACAGAATCTTACTTTACTGTGTGCATGATTAAAAACAACTTGGTCTGGATTTGAATTATTTTATGAAACATATTTATAATGACCATAAAGGAGCATGGTTCGTCTCCTTTTTGGTTAGTCAAAATACATGCCAATGTTAGTGTTTGTCGCTCGTAAAATTGTGTTTCAGCTGAATTGCCTGACTAAAAGGAAGCTCTTACTTTTTTGGTCAGACATTTTCTCCACAGTTTTAAGAAAAAATAACATGCTAGTTTAAAGTTTTAGCACCACTTGCACAGAGACAACTGTTGTGTTGTAGCATCTTCCGACTGGACAGTAGAATAGCAGAAGAAGGGTTGTTCTGCCAAATACAGCCTGGTGGTACATGGTTTAATTTTCGGACACAGGCTGCCAGTCTTCACTCAGTAAAATGTGTAATACTGTCCAAACTTGCATCTAATAAAGACTCCTCTCATCGTAGGTGTGGAGGAAGTGCCAGATGCGAATCTTCACCGTGGCCCAGATGGATGACAACTCCATCCAGATGAAGAAAGATCTCCAGATGTTTCTCTACCATCTGCGGCTGGATGCAGTGGTGGAGGTGGTGGAGATGGTGAGACACGTCTGCAGCTATTAGCTTCTGCTCAACTTTAAATCATCTCAGAGACTTCTTGTTCACTTTAGCGACACACAATGCGACGATGTCTCGACACCTATTGACACTGAATCCGTAAATGTTCCTTCTGCCCTTCTAGCATGACAGTGATATCTCAGCCTTCACCTACGAGAAGACGCTGGTGATGGAGCAGAGGTCGCAGATGCTGAAACAGATGCAGCTGTCTCGCACTGAGAGGGAGAGAGAGGTATTGTCACACACACTGTATATCATAACTGACTTCTCAAAGCATTATACTGCACTAAACTGTGCATTAGTGGATATAATTTACGTACTCTGACATTTGCTGAGGCTTTAAAGTGTAATTCTGTGACGCACATCTCAACACTTACTTGTCAAAACATAGATTTTGATGTAAATAAACGTAATGTTCAGAGCCACAAACACTTTCCTTTTTAAAATATTCAGGCGTAGCTGATGATGCTTACTTTAGAACATGATCCTTATACAGCACAATACAACATACATATAGTAATACACTCATGCAGCCCAAATACAAAGCTGTCGCACAACTTCCTTGTGGTCTGTTCTGCTGTTGTTGACTTTTGAACTCTTCCCCCAACAATATCGTGCTGACGGGCTCAGATTCAGAGCATCACAGATGTGTCGCGCGGCTCCATAAAGAGGAAGAAGTGTTCATGCGCTCCGCCGCTCTACACTCAGTGCATTCCAGAGGATGAGGTAGCCACGGCAACCGGCCACGGTGCCATCGCTTCCATCCATTCGTCATGACATCCTTCCTCGCCGTCATCACAATCCATTCATGACAGCTGCTTTAAACAGTGCCGTCAACCTAAGCTGAGCTCGACAGCTTCATCCTAACTTAACTCCACTTGTTGAGTTCATCTTCCATCCATTCACATTCCTTCACACTGTTGTGTTGCAGAAACAAAAGTCGCCACTAGAGGGGGACAAATTCTTCATTGATTGAATTTTAATGCGTATCAGAATCCTATAGGTGCAGACAGGGTAGTATCTGTTGCTGCAGGAGTAACTAATTATTTACTCCTGCTAGTATAATTACGAGCACTTTTCAATTCATTTAAATGTAAGTTTTTTAACTGAAGAAGAATCAGTGCAGCTGCTGACACAGGGGAAGATTTTTGCCCATCACTTGATATAATATGGGTAATCTAAATAACAATTTGCTTCACATTTTTTCTGACTAAGACAAAGAGTAATGTGACTTTTAACACTAGAAATGTTACATTATACATTCTTAATTCTTTTTTTCTGTCATGCTGGACAGCTGGATCACCAAATTCTAACTACTTGGTAAGAAATGATCTATCCAGATGTTTGAGTAAGGCTCATTTTGCTTTTATTGGTCACGTTTCTTAAATTTAACAGCAAAAGGCTCTGTCTTTATTTATATTGGCTCTCGTCCTTTTAGAGGATTCTCAGTCAGCACTTAGATGCTTTGGAAATTATGCTTAATTTGTATAAATGGATAAAGATGACCTAGAACCTTTTATATAATATTAAATGAATACATTTAAATTCTGTTAACTACAAGATTTTTGAATTTAAATGCTAAAAATGCAGTTTAAAAAAAAAAGTTCAGGCAATGATTAAAACTGAGAATTTAAAGAAGTGATATTTTTAACCAGTTTTGTTAAGTAAGGTTTCATTTAATCATGCATATCAGGTACATGGGTTGTTTACTTGAACACACCAGGGACCACGGTGTAGACTTCTGGATTCTTCTGCATACGTGTTCATTTCCATTGAAGCTCATTTCAGTGTTGTGACTGGAGAGTCACACATCACAAAAACAGAGCAGGATGTTCATCTGTCCACGTGTGAACCTGCATGTACTCTCATCACCATGAACCTCGCCCTCGCTTTGATACCATACACACCTTCTTCTCTTCATATTTTCATGTTCCTGTCCACTGAAAAGCAATGATCAGTATCTGATAGACATTTTTTTTAATCATCTGACCCGTCCTTTGTTCAGGCCCAGTTGATTCACGACCGGAACACGGCGTCTCATTCTTCAGCGAATGACAAAGCCGTAGGTGCTGCACCAGATCGTGTCCACATGACCTGGACCAAAGAAAAACTGATCAATGAGAGGAACAAGCAACGAGAAAACATGGCAGTCAAAGACATGTTCAATATGAAACCGTAAGTAGATCAGCTCAAGACGTCATGAAGATAAACTCCCTGACCTTTGGTGCAGTAGCAAGCATTTGTGTTTACATGCAAATCAATACTAAACAATAAGATAAGTTGGATTCAGCTGCATTGTACAGTAATTACTTTGCTATTATCTCCATAGTATATGTGAGTATTGTGCACAGTAGAAACTACAGCGCCTTCTACAGGATACATAAAAACTTGAATTGGTCTAATTCATCTTAAATCTTTTGCATTTAATTTGGCACATACCACTGTGTTTTTCTAGGATTGTTCTCCTTAGGTTCATTCACTAATATTACCAGTATTTACATGCTATTGTACTTTGCTAGATAGACTTGTCCTTCTCTTTTGTGAAGACTCTGAGATGGGGAACAGCTCCTACTTCAGTAATAATGTTGGATATGTTGTTTTTTGCCCCTTCCTTTAGCGAGTGGGAGAATCTGTAAGTGACTGTATCACTTTTTGGTTGCATGAATTCTCTGTGCATGTGTGTGAAAATCATCCCCAATGGCACGTTTGTGTCAAAGTAGTTTGCATGAGCATCAAATGACAAACAAGCCTGTGTCGCTCCTGTATCGTATAGAAGCTGCATGCGTCTGCATTAGCCTGCAAGATCATCACATGCATAATAATTTACACTGCGCTTCCTGTAGGTGGCTGATTAGTAGCATCGTAGCTAAAATGCTAGCTGGCTTTGTTCATGTTGTTTGTCCAATCAGTGCTGTCATTAATGTCTCTGGTTTAACGTAGCAACCAGTCCAACGTGCGGAGGATGCACACAGCTGTGAAGCTCAATGAGGTGGTGGTCAAGAAATCCCACAATTCACAGCTGGTCCTGCTCAACATGCCAGGCCCACCGAAGAACAAGAAAGGGGATGAGAACTGTATCCTTTCTCAGTGGAACGTCGCTGCTACGCTGCAAAATGTTGTTTATTTAGTCTAAAAGTCATTCAGACATTAAGTTCGACAAAATAGTTTGACGAGAAGGTACCACTCTCATGTGCTAAATATGAAGCTTTTGCAAAACATGCAGTTAGCGTAGCTTAGCTTAGCTTAGCATCAAGACTAGAAACAAGGGGAAACACGTTACCCGCCTTTTTCCAAAGGTTAAATAGTTTGACTACTAATCAGGACCTCTAAAGATTTTTTTTCCTTTATTTGTGCAAAAACTAAGTGCAGGAAAGTTGAGATTTTCTGGGTATTGTATGCTGGAAACTACAACTTGTTATCAAGTTTATATAAAATGTTGAATATTGAGCATCGCAGGTGTTGATTAGTCGTTTGCCCCAATTCTCGTCTTCGTGCTAACTGACTGCTGCAGCTTATATTTAGCACAGATATGAAGTGGTTTTAATATTTACATCTCATCTTTCTGTCCCGTCATGTTAACTGCAATTAAGTAAATAATACATTAATTTAACTGTCAAAGGAGTCGTGTCTTTGACGTGTTTTAAGGCTTCCAACGTGAAGATACAGCGCAAAAGTTTGAACCACAGAGGGTAAATTGGAAAGGGTTTCTTCACTCATGACCACAAAAATTAAGTTTGTATGAAACCAGCTCTCTAGATAAATCTGAACATTATGGTGTGATTTAATGTGCCTTATGGCCTTAACCAGAGTGCGTCTCTCAGATATGGAGTTCCTGGAGGTGTTAATGGAAGGCCTAGACCGCGTCCTGCTGGTTCGAGGAGGAGGTCGGGAGGTCATTACTATCTACTCTTAGCACCAAGAGGTTTCTGTTTGTTTGGAAGGTCTCTGGGAAGAAACCTGGTCCGACAGTGGGAGACCAAAATGGACGATCGAGGAGGATGACATGATGTTAATGTGGAATAAACACATGGGACTAATTCCTCCTCCCATACTTCAGGAGAAAAGCTGCTTAACATTTTGGAGAACCATGGCTGCTGTAAAGGACAGGGGACACTGCCTGCAGCACAGCCTGAGCTCGGTGTACTGTTTGGGGGTACACATGGCTCTCTACGCCCCCCGTCCTCCTGGGGCTCCTTGACTTTTCCACAACTTTAAAATGCAAGATACCAGAGATGTGCCGGCTTTGTGAGAATCTTCTTTCCTCGTTTTACTCCGACAGATGCGTCATTTCAGTGTGACATGTTATATTCCTTCTCTGGACACTTGATGGAGGCAAGACACTCTACAGGTTGTTTCTGTGGCCGACAGTCCGATCACTGGTTTCACTGAGGAATGCAGCCATAGAGGACAGTATCTTTATTTATTTCAGTGCCAATGATGAAGCTTCTCATTAACATTTAACAAAGTTCTGGCTTTGGAATGATAGTACAGGTGGTAAAACATGTTTTAAAGCCAATATATTTTCCAGAATATCATCTAATCGAACCTTATTGATGACTACAGACAAATGCGGCACTACTGCTTGTAATCAATAACTTAGATGTTCTCGGCTACTGCTTCTCAATTGTTTTTGTTGTCACAGATACATTAACGTACAATAAGTAACACAGAAAATCGAATAGATGAACTGCAACTCCTGTGGTTGTGCCATTTTGCTAAATGTTAATCAGTGCATTACTGTATTGGACTCATTTCATAGAAAGCCAGCAGTAAACTGAACAACTGAACAAGTAGTTTTTTCATTTAATTTTGTTTTTTTAAGTGTAATGTGTGATATGTTGTTTATCAAAAAAGAAATATCAATTAAAAAAAGGGTTTGTCGTTCTGTGTAGTACTGGAGATCCTTTGTATGTGTATTTCAGTGTATTATGTTACTAAAATCATGTGTTTGTACATGAATTAATCATGAAGGTGCAGCAGCAAGGAAACAGAGAGAATACAACAGGGGCTGATGATCTAGACTCACACAGGTACCATATAATAAAAACAATATCTGGATGACAGTAATGTGTGACAAACAAACCCATTCAGTACATCAAATTATAAAATAAGGCAAATTAATCAGTGCCCTCCACAAAGACTTGTGTTGCCCTCTGAAGTATGAAAACACAGTTTTTGCAAAGTTTCATACATAAAACTACTGTTTAAGGTTGGTGATGTGTCACATGTTGAATATCAGGAAGAAGTTGTCTTCAAGGTTCAAAGAAAACAGCATTAAAGGAGAATTTCCGTTTGTCTCACATCTCTTAAAACAACTTCATATGAAGTCACAAAATGAGGTTAGAAACAGGACACAAATGTTGTAAAAATCAGACTCCTAATGCCCAAATGCATTCATCAGATCCCACTCCCTAAGATGTTTGCTGCAGAATAAGAGCATGACACCACTTCCTGCTTTCCTACTGAGCATAAACACACAGGCTATGATCAAATGACTTTTGTTTGATGTCATTTGCACGAACAGCAGCTTTCTCGTAAGAAAAAAAATTAGTGTATTTTGTTTAACATTTAGGCCATTAGTGCAGAATCATTGATTGTTGTTGTTGTTGGTGACCCTGATATATTTTCATTACATTCATCAGAGGGCTAAAAACAAGCTTCAATGTTTGAAAAACCCAGAAGAACTATTTGGAACCCACTTCTCTACCTAGGACTGTGGTTTCCTACGTGACACTGGCATAACTCTTTGGTCCTGCTGGGTTTTTATGGTACTTATTTTGGGAAAACATGCTCAGGTTCTATAACTTGCATGTTATAAAAATAAATATACTTCTGCATGTACGGATCACACTAAAGATTCAGTTGCCCTTTTAGTTATTTGATCCATGCATCAGCAGGATGGTAGATTATTCAGCGCTGTAACTGCAGTTCTGTTCTTGATCTGGAGGATGTAAAGGCCAGGCTGTGACCTTCAGTATGCAACAGTGTGGTTAACAGCCAAGTGTGAAGGAGTTTGGATTTGGATCAGCACCTCCAAAACTGAGGCCACACAGCTCAGTTGGAAAATGGTGACGTGGGGACAGAATGGATGCCCCAAGTAAAGAAGTTCAAGTATTTCAGGGTCTTGTTCATGACCATTGACTGAATAATGGACCCACCCTCCATGATGTCACTTTTGGGTTTTGAATCTCAGTGTGCTGCCTCCTGCTGTCGTCATCTTGGCAGTACCTGATTCCCTCTAACTTCTGGCAAATTAAAAAATGGGCAAAGAAATGGAGTGTGTAAAGCTAAAGCAGGCCATGCATACATCTCTGGGCTATGCACTGTCCTGTGATGGCACCCATTTGTCACTCAAAGCCGCCACATCCTTAATTATGCCTAGATTTAAACCCTAATACATTCTAAATTATTAAGTTAAATCACAAATGACCCTCTGTACAGTATCACGAATGGGGAAATTTGATATAGAGACCAAAACAGCTTTTGTTCCAGGTTGTAAACATGTTTATTTCTGCTGTAAAGTGGGACATTTTAACATGGAGGTCTATGGGGATTGACTCACTTTTGCAGCCAGCCTCAAGTGGACATTTGAGGAACGGAAGATTTTGGCAATTATGCTTCATTTTTCAGCTCCAGCAATGTTGTTAATTACTGAGTGTAGACAGGCAAACCGGGGCTGTGTTTGCAGTGATACAAACGCTGTACCGGTCGTTAGTAATGGTGAAGCAGCTGAGACTTACTTTACCAGGCGATGTACAGTCCTATCCTCACCTGTGATCACAAGCTCTGAGTGTTTACCCAAACAGTCCAAAGACCACAGATGAAGGCAACTGTTAGATATTACTTCCTTCTAGTCACAGTTTTAGGGGCCTAGGGTTTGTTTCTATGACTCTCTTAATGAGTTTATCCACATTGAGAATTGGACTTGGAAGGAACCTCCCATATCATGACACGGAACATACATCTGCAGACGCAAAGACAAAAGGCAGGAAACAGGAAGTCTGTATGGAAAGGAAATGAGGCTGAATGAGCGGGTCGTCAGATGTAAACTGTTGTGATTTCTCTGATTACGTTCTATTCACCTCAATTTCATGTTTTTTTTTTGACCCACAAAACTTAATTTTTCTCCACTTCAGGATTTCAAATGTTTCAAACTTGTTGATGTGTATATATCACTATTTATTAAGTACATTGCATTTCAAATGCCATTAAGTGTAGAATAAAAACTGATGCCCTTTGCTAAACCTACAGGTCGTCAGTCGAGTATAGTTTCACTGGAAGTTGTCAATACTGAGAAAGACCAATGCAAACGTATTCTTTTTTGTGAATCCTAAGCCTTTGTTTTCAGGGTTTAGGTGATCCAGATATATTGTTGTCAGATGGAGTCCACTCTGGTCTGACCCAGAGGAGAGTGGGACTGGGTTGTTGTCACCTCTTACATAACTGGTCTGGGCTCAGTTTCCAAAAATCTATTTAATCCGAAAATCATCATTGTCTCTTGGCACACAAAAGAACAAAGACAATCTTGGAAGCTGCAGTAAGAAAACTGTGGCAAAACTTGGCCGTGGATAAATGGCTTCCTGTTTGTCCCAGAGAGCGGTTAGCTGGGTCAGCACGCACAGAACAACAACAACAACAACGTACCGGTCTGATGCTCTGATCGCTGTCTGAATTACTACTCGGCTGCACTGTCTGCTGTCTGTAACCGCTACTCTCTGCTCACTTTAAAGTGCAGGCTGCCCCTCAACGTTTAAAACAGTTATCCCAGTTTGACACTTTATTGTTTCCCTAAAGAGAAGCTTGTCTGCTGGCCAGGATCCACATAAAAAAAAACACTTTGGCCACAAGTGTCACTGTGCGAAACACTTCACACAGCTCATGAAAAACCAAAGATTTTTACCATCTAGGTCGTCTGTTTTGTAGCTTGGTGCAGTTTACAGTAGTGACCCAGAAATCCAAAACAAATATGCATGTACTTTATGTTGTATATGCACAATAATTTTTTTTTAAAAAGGCGAAGACTTAAAGTGCAGGAAGCTCTTGAAATGACATCATCAACATGAGACGAGCCTCCTGACCAGCTGTGCACAGAGGCTCTTTTACTAGAGGCCTTCATAACTTTTTACTAGAGCTGTGCACAAACACTATGAAAATGTGTGGAAGGAGGTTCTTTAAAGGTTCCTTACAGTCTAGTATTATTGAGCTGTTAAGAGAGAGTGCTAATAGGGTGTCAGTGAGATTTACAGGAACAATTTACAACAGCTGATATGAAAGTCGGTATGAAACGGAGGTACATTAAGAAACCAATCTATACTAAGGTTGCAGCGAATTATCCCTTTTTACTAATTAGTCTTTCTTCTTGTCTTCACATTGCGTGAGAAGCTGGAACCTAAAAAATGAGTTAGGGACCAAATAGGGACCAAAAATTTTTTATCACATGCTTCTGTAGTTTCCCCCAGCTGTAACAAAGCATTTTAGCTTCTTTTACCTCTTTGTTTTGTTCATGTAGTCCACAACTTTAGGCTGCTGTTTTCACTCACTCAGTTTCAGCAGCTTATGAGCATTGTTTCTGACCACAACAGGCTGCAATCCTCATCAAAAAATTATCTAAAACCTGGAGAAGCTTTTAGCTGCTTCGAACGGTTGATATTTCTCTCAAAATTTTATTGCAAGTGAACCAAAGCTAAACGTAAGTTAAATATTGGTCGACACATGGGAGAATCATGTATTTCCAGAATTCCATCCATCCATCCATCATCTATACACCGCTTAATCCTCACTAGGGTCATGGGGGGCTGGAGTCTATCCCAGCTGACTTAGGGTGAAGGCAGGGGACACCCTGGACAGGTCACCAGTCTATCACAGGGCTACACTTAGAGACAGACAACCAAGCACACTCACATTCACACCTACAGACAATTTAGAATCACCAGTTAACCTCAACATGTTTTTGGACTGTGGGAAGAAGCTGGAGAACCCGGAGAGAACCCACGCTGCACACAGTAAGATCCCAGGCGCCCTAACCGGGACACGAAGGTGACGGTGCTAACCTCTCACAGTGCAGCTGAGAGTCCATATGACTTTATTTTCACTTAAGCGGGACAGCTTAACTTATGTTGTCAAGATATTGGTGCCAATATATTGGCAGCCAAAAGAAGTACGTCCTGTGTTCGTTGCTATAGAGTAACACAGAGAGAGGAGGTTGGGGTGGATGGATGAGTCAATAAAGCGCAGAACTGACACAAGCGATTGCTGTTCAGTCAACACTGGTTTGTTTTAACCATACCAGCACTTGGTCCTTGTTCTCAGATACATGGTAACAGTTGTAACCATGACTGCAAACGTCCCCAAACCTTACCTAAATTTAACACAAATCCTAATCTTTTGCTAACCAAACTTTTTAAAGCACAGTTGCAAAAATACATTTTGCTGCTTGACATAAAAGACATGTTGGTAACTGCTAACAGGTTTACCATAGAAACCTAAAATGTGATAACATGCCAGTGTTGCGTTTACAGTTTTTTTCACTAACCTCTAAACTCAATTACAACAGCTAGAAATATTTTGCACGACAGACGTTTCTTACTGATAGACATATTGAATGGTAAAAGATCTTACTTGTTAGTGTCAGTAACAGTTCCTCTAAATTAAACAACACGTTCTTCGCTGAGGCTGACGACATCCATCAGGTTCCCACAGCTTCCACTGACCTTCCAGTAACGTCACAAGCTTTGCCTAAACAACAGTTTTGGGGGGAAACCGCCCTATCTGAGAGCTAAATCTAGCAGAGAAGCTAAAGAAAGAAAACACAAGAGGTTTAGGAAGGGAATGTACTCTGCAAAGAGGATGCAGGAGGAGGAGTGGGGGTACCTCTGTTTTCCTCTGAGTCATTATCATTCCAGCATCTGCTAATAGTAGGGTGTTAACATCACAACATGGACTATTTCACAGATTCCCACTGACCTTGTTGATCCCTTTGTTTCTGTTGGTGTGGGAGAGAAAGTCTGGAATGATATTCAATTTAAATTTTTAAAGGTCTACCGCTTGAAACTCGTGCACTTCGTCAAATATTGCTGTTATAAAAGGCCTGTCTGTGGTATTTGACGACATGTCTTCTTCTTCATTCAAGATCAAAGAAGCCTGTTGATGTGAAACTCATTTAACCTGAAGCCACTCAGACTAATCTGATAATTGCTATTCGTCAAATGCCTGCCTTGATTTCATCATCTGCTCATGGATGAACTCAGGGAACAAACTGCACAACCCTCTAATATGTGATTAAAAAACAACAACGGTTGAACATCCACAGCTACATCCTCAGTAACAACTTTATGTTTTAGGACACATAACTTTTGCCACTTCATGCCAAGGAGCTACACTACAAAAAGACCACTCCTCTGGCATTTTAATACCCCAAAAATAGAATCTTGTGGAAACACTGTCGACCCTATTTTAGTTTGAATGCTCCTGGTTTGCATTTTAGTCTGGGCGGGCAGAAACACAGACTTTTGGAAACGATAATGCAGACACCCACATTCACTTCCTGATTGGGTCTTATCAGTCAGTACATGCCCTTCCCTGATTTGTCACACCCCTACAATGTGCCCTTTTTCAAAAGAAAAGACATCTGACCTGACTATCAGTGATCAGTTCAGCAACTATGCAACCAAGTGATCTACATTTTCAGACGCGTTTGCGTTCACAGAGGATATTTCTGAAACTGTGTTCAAACAATGTTTGAAAATGAAAATGTGTTGGTGTGAATGCAACCTCAGAATGGTTGTGATCTTTACAATAAGGTGTTGAGGAATTTAAAAAGACAGTTGTGTTTGCTGACTTAACATGTTCATAGCAAAAAAGGATCAGCACAATAACCTGAAGCTGCACCTTTTCAGACCTTTCTGACAGAAATTTTAATTTTCTAGTCCGGTTTGGGGGCATTTTTGTTTTAAGTTTCTTGCCATAATGTCTCCCCTACAAATTGCATATCAAAAAAAATTTTGCATTTTAAAATTCATTTCTGTGTCATTAGATAACAGGTTCATTTTGTCCTATCTTTGATGTGCAGACCTTTACAGTAGAATGTTGGCTGGAAAAGCAAACAAACAACAACAACCAAAAAAACAATAATGTCAGGAGTAAGATTAACAAACCTGGACTCTTTCCAGCTACAATAGAAAATGAACAATCTCTTCCACAGCTCCAAACATTAGCCTACTTTTAGAAAAAAATGCTAAATTGATTTTAGTTTAAATAAATTGAACTTTATTGCACTAACTTACAATATTAGCTAAGATACCTCCTGAAATACCTGCTACCTAATGCAGTCATGTAGCATTGCAGAGGAGCCCTGAACCTAGCTGTAGAATGAAGCCATGTAACCTTTAATACAAGAACTATCGTTCTCTTACACCAGGTAGGGTTAATGTTGGCAAACTTTTATTTCTCACATCGACCATTCTCGAGCTGACACAGTGCAGAATAGTCTGACTGCACTCCGTTATCATTCTGCTATAGGAGTAAAGAAACACTTTTGAACGAATCACACTTTAAATAACGCTGTCTCCTCAAAATAGCGACGGGGAAATTGTTCTGGTGGAACATTTGCGCACAGGGAGGCGAGCACTGTCATTAAAATTATTAATCAACCCGCCAGAAAATAGCAGGGCTGCCTTATTGAACAGTCCAAACCTTTATCAAAACTGAAAGTTCCAGCGTGGTAGGTTGCTGCCAGGAGATGGTTGTTGTTTTCCAATGCGATTTCTTTCAGATAGCAGAAAGGGAGGAGAAAGTCGCACGAATTGCACGGCCTACAGCAGACCACTGTTGTTAATGAAGCTGGATGATTACAGGGTGGCTGCATGGACCTATGTGATGTAGAGGGGGTGGGAGATGGGAAGGTCTGTAGGGGACCATCAGCTAATCTTTGCCCCAGGGACCACTTGACAGGTAGCTACAGCCATGCTATTTGTATTCATTATTTCATCTATTCATTAAGAAGCATTTTGGTATGTCTTAATTTTAGGATAATATTATTGGAAGATACCATAAAGTAAAACTGTAAAATTGGAAAAAGCGATAAAAGAAGATGAATTATCATCAAAAATTGGAATCAAATGGGTTTGAAAATCAGAAGGCCTTTATTTAGTGGATCTACAGACATTTAAAAATGCACTAATTCACACCAGACCTGAATGTTTTATGCCATTTTTTTTAGATATGGTTCTTCCACCCTCCTTTGTTGGTGTCATTATTCTTTGCATAAGCAATCCTGACAGTTCAGATGATGAAGACTGAATAATAGATAGCACAGTTCAACTCTAAATGATCGCCCAGAACAAGCGTCATGTTATCATTAATGGAAGGAAATTGTCTCAAGTAGCAGTTTAGGAGAGAGGGTCCACTGAGTGAGTCAGGGGGGAGTTTTTTTTTTCCTTCAAGGGAGTCAAATTTCCCAACTCCGTGGGTCCTGAGAGTCGCTCAGCTCCGAACTGAGAGATTCTTTGTGCAGAGAGAGAGAGAGGAGAGAGAAGAGAGAGAGAGAGAGAGAGAGAGAGAGCAGCAGTGTGGCTTCAGGTCTGCACAGTGAGGCAGAAGGACCACGGAGTTTGCCGGAGTTTCATCACACACACACGTACTTGGAGTTTCCTTCTAAAGCTGGATTTTTATTTACGTACTCGCTAAAATGTTTCAAGGGTAAGACACACCTTTTTATATGCATTGCTTAAACTTGTCCTGTGTGAAAAGTGGTATTAAACTGACTTTAGCAAACATCTTCATGAAGCTCTTCAGCTGCACCTCAGAGCAGACCTTTCTTTTCAGCTTGAAGTTATCGCTGCAGTTTAAGTTATTTTAACTAAATGATCAGGACTTCCATCACCCTTTTTAAGTCTACCTTTAACTTCCCTCCTGTGACTGGTGTGTCCCCTCAGGTGGTCTCTCGCCCTGCATCTCGCCCTGCTGTGCTGGCTGGCTGCTGCCCTGCAGGTTATAGAAGGTAAGATGCATTCTGCTGCGATTCTGTCTCTGCATCGTACAGATCCTTAAGTGGGAAAAAAGGGAAGGCTATGACCCAAAACAGTGAACCGTGGCCTTCACTCATGGCGGTGATTTGTTCCCACTTGAATGATGGCTGTGAAAGGCAAATATTTTTTTTTCTGCAGAGCATCACATATCAAGATTAAATATAAAGCCTGAATTGTTGCAGATGTACGTCATGTGGGTGCTTCTGCAAAGTACACAGTACAAAGTTCACAGTTTCTGCCATTTAAGATGCTTCAATTTTATCATAGGACAGGCCCGAAAATGGTTTAAATGCATCCACGTATGTGACGGATGAGGGGACACTTCATGGTTCTGTCTGCAGTTCAGCAGGACGAGCTTTCCAAATGCATTTTAACACCAACAATCTGTCGCTAACATTCATGTGTGTCTAAAGTTGATCTATTTAAAAATAAACTTTTACAATCTGGCATTTCCGCCGCTTTTTACATACGTATAATTGCTGGATTGTATGTAAGCGCTGAGGTAAACTGCTTAAAGGCAGAGAACATGCAACGAATCAATGACACAATGTGTATAGAGCTGCAGTAGGAGTTATCTCCTGGTATTTTTATTTGTTTTTTTTAAATGATCCTCTTTACAAGTGTAAGAAATGGATTTGTCTGTACTGCTTTCCACATAACTAGGTTATCACCTATAGAGTGTAAGCCACAGTTTCTTCTAATTCAGGGACATTTTATTCATCTTTATGAGGGTTTTAACAGCTTTAATCACCATTGGTTAAATTTACATCCAAAGTTAGAACAAGTTCCATTTTTTTTAAATAATACCAAAAGTAAAAAAGGAAACTAGTGCACATCTCCATTCACTAATGTTTTGTGAATATATTATGTGTTGATTCTGCAGCCAAACTGTATAGAAACATTGCTTCAACACTTAAAAGAAAAGTCACGCTTCTCATATGAGAAAACCTACTTGGCAATAAAACAGATCGTGATTATTATTCTGATTAAGATTCTAAATGTGCATAAGATTTACTAGCTTTCTGCTTCAATTGCACTTCAAACATCATATTTTACTTTTATCGAATGACTTTTCCGCACTTTTAACACACAAATTGATGTGCACTAAAACAACTGAGTGGAAATTCACCTTTTACAACCAACATATCTGCTGTGTAGTCGTTGTTATCAAGGCTGATGACCAAGTGGAAGACATGGACACATCCATACACATCAATCTCACATGTTTTTGAGTTCCCAAAAAAAATAAAATCCAGCTAACCACTTTTCTATCCCCCCTCCACCAACCTGTAGCACATTAAATTTAAATTGGTGGAGTTTAAAACTTTAAAAAGATATTAGCGGTTACAGAATTTCCTCAAAATTGCCTATTAACAGCCTTTAACGACGACAAAAGAGCCTCGTCTCAAATCCATTCCAGCTTCACAGAGCCATTACAAGACCCACAACACAGCTCCGCCTCCTTCCCATTTCCATTTTCACACCTCCGCCTGCTGTTGTGGTTTTCATTCAGGGACTTCCCGCTGTGAGGCTCTTCTTATACGACCCTGCGGGACAGTGATAGTTTGTTTGTTTGGCAATACATCGGGCTTCCTCTGCCCTCTTCATCTGAAGTGTGTGCGTACGATGAGGTGGCTGGAAGTGGCAGACAAGTCAAACGCTGCACCAGGGTGAGAAGTGAAGTGTGTACTTTGTATGGTAATGGGTTTCCTCTGCACTGCGCTGGCTGTTAGTGTGTTTGAGATGTTTGGGCCGGGAGGAGGGTTCACACTGAGCTTTGAAGTGGGATGTTGGGAACACACTTGAATCTGTGCCAGTTTAATGCCAGCATGAGGAGACGATTTTTGACAATGGATGGCGGAAATGATCTTTGAACAATTCGTTTCATCCTAACTGAGTTGTTGATTGTTCACACACTTGACACAGATCGTGACATTGTGGAAGGTATAACGGTTAAGATGTTGTGACTTGGAATGTACTCCTGAGCAGATCAATTAAACCTCAAACTGCTGAAGGGAAAATGCAACACCTTAGAAATTGTTCCCACATTTGGAGCACTTAATGGAGACAGCAGTGTTTTCGTTGGTTCAGTTTACAGAGTGACATGTTTTACTCAGTCCAGAATCTTATAAAATGCTGTATTTGATGTGTTTGCTAAATTTTCCTCTAGTAAAGTAGGTGGCACAATACCAGGAGGCGCTCACTATGCAAGTTGCAAAGAGTTCCACAAATTACACAAGGGCCCTGCGTCACTCTTACGTTAAAGCGGGAGTCAGTGTTTACAACTCAGATAAGAACCTGAAGTGGAACTGTTCTACTCGTCACACAAAGAGAAAGCGATTAACCCTGTTCAGGACTCTTGGTGTCTTTTGGACCCCAGGCCAATTGGTTTAGGTGACAGGTATTGTTTTTTTATTTATGAAGATTCTTTTTTTTAAAAAAATATAAAAATAGGGACATTTGTCATGCATTTGGAACCAAAAATACATCAACTTATCAGAAAATGTATTTAACATCGTATAAAAGTCTGGAATAAATACCAACAAATATTTTGCACGTATTCTTTCTTGGGGTCCAATGACGACGTATGGCAAAGTGAAAGTCCTGAATGGGGTTAAGTAAATGCATGTTCTCTAACGTGAGCTGAGCAGTGCATCTCTTGGTCTGTCTGTGTCTTGTCATCTTGCATCCACAAATTGACACACACAAGGCCACACCACAAGCAAATCATTTCCTACACCAAGGATTGGGTTAACTAGTTCTTGAGCTGGTCCTGACCTCCCGGGCCCCTGAGCAGAATTCTGCAAAGAGGCCCTCCTTCATGACCCGTGAACCATGTAAACCGTTTGCCACAGAGTCATACCTGACACACCAGTGCTCTACTTACAATTCTTCCCTCTTTAAACACTTTGCTCCATCGGTTGACTGAAGAATAACGAGATGCACACCAATCAGCCGCAACGTTGAAACTAGTGACAAAACAAACAATGTTCTGCTGGGAAACCTTGGATCCTGGCATTTTAGATCATAATGCTAATTCATGGTTTCTGCACAACCAATGTGAATTTGTAGTGATTACTGAGCTGAAAGTTGCATCACTCCACATTTTGAAAATGGAAAAACAAAAGGGGTTCCTGTGGATGTTTCTCAAAGACTTACGAAAGCTGATTTTTTTACAGGATATATTAGTTTGTTATAGATTGTGCTGTAACACAGTGTCAGTTATTGTTGAGTTGTGCCAAGCATAGTGGACGGATAGAGCACTGGATATCTGGAGAATTTGAAATTTCCCACTGTGTTTGGGTAGCGTGGATGAAAAACATATAAGCACCTGCAAAATCCAGCAGCAGGAACTATAACTACAAATCTTTTAATGAAGAATTATAAAGCCTTGCTTCATAACAACATAACATTTAAGCAACATTTCCTAACACATGCACAGTCGCTACACTTGCACTTTTGAGCTGCACATGAACATTCACAGAGGGGTCAGACATGGATCTTCATGTACTTGGGTAGATGGCGAAATTTACATTACACTTGAGGACACATGCATGCTTAAATGATCTGGCCTTTGCTTCGACACAAACTAGCCACCTAAACATTGGTGCAGACCAAGCTCACACCTCCATGGCTCACCACAATGCCAGTGTCCTCCTCCACACCTTCAAAAAATTCTCAGGAATGGCTCAGAGAACATAAGAGTCCATGTGTTGTCCTGGCCTCCAAACCCTCTAGATACCAATCTGACTGAGAGATGCACCGTAGCAAACTAGATCCACGGAGGTCCCACAACGCAACCTACACGACATAATGGATTTGATACCAGCATCCTCAGAGGTCACACTTCCTTGGCCTGACAGGTCAGAGCTGTTTTGGTGACACAGTTGGGACCGACACAGTATCAGTCAAATGAAGTTTACCAGTGAGTGTTTATCTGGTGTGAAACCTCCACTTGGCACAACAGCTGCTTTTAGCTCTAGGGACTGTCAGACTACAGCCACACCAAACCAGACAAGCATCTTTTTTCTCTTTTGGTTCCATCCATCCTAATAACTCAGCTTTTTTGACAGCGTTTTGTAAGCAGTCTCCACACTTAGGAAACCTTACTTTGGCTGCAATAAGTGCAGGCTGAGATGTTTGATGGATATAGATTTAGCATTTACAGCAGATTAATCTCAGTTTCATGAGTGCATCATTATAAGCGTCTACATTTCTAGACATCTCGGTGTTTTCCACGCTTCCAGCTTCGCAACCCCCCCGACCCTCCCTCCTCAAAAGAACCACTCTGAACTCAAGAAACCTTCACTTTCCATTTACCGTTGGTTGAGTAGCTCTGAAAGGATTCCATGTTTAGCCAATATAAATGATTGTGAGGTGAGCCCAGTAGGAGTCTGTTTTTGACGAATTTCCTCTGTACAGTAAAGCCAAGTCGCATTATTGTACTGTTGACAATTTCAGTCTTGGTGCCTTTGAAATCCTCAATTACAGCCATATGTTAGCGGCAATGTTTTTTCTCCAGGCAAATACACTTTTTTGTTTTTTTTTTTCCACTTATTCACATTCAGTTGCCTCCCTATATTTAACAGTTGTACCTATGAGATTTTCAAACGCTTCCACTCCTGACCTTATTTGGTCTCTGATGTTATGGGAAGAAAACTCCCACCTTGTGCCCTTTAGTGTTTTATGACTCTGAAACCTGGCAAGCTAACATGTGATCGAGCCGTATGAAAGAGCCTGTACCTAAATGTCTTCAGTATATTAGCGGACTGAACGCCCTCGCTGCAGCGGCGTCCTGTCTGGAATGTGCTCATTCAGCCAGAGTGACTTTGATTCGAACACAGTTGGGCACAATGGGCCAACTGTAAAAGGTGTCATTGCTGTATGTGTGTATAACGGTCAGCTCTATGGGATTTTAATGGAGGGGGGGGGAAAAAACCCTCAATGGAAACAAGAAATAAGAATGGGTGTT